CTTAATGTTGTAGCTATATTTTAATCTTAAAATAAAACTTTCCTATTTAACAGAGAAATGAAGAAAGGGAAAAAAGCAAAAAACTCTCAAGAAATAAAAAGTTAAAAATATTTATTTGGGACAATAAAATCTGCTTGCAATTGAGACTAACACAATGTTGGGCAACACTGGGATATTGTTTGCACTTCTTTTTATATTATCTTCCCATTATCGGGCACCCCTCCACACACACCTGGATATCCAGGTGTTCAGCAGCCCCCCCCCCCGTGTGGGTTGTGGGATCCTTAGTGTTCACTTTGCTGCATTCCATTGAGAACACCCCTGAAAGGCTATTCCTTTTCCCATTGTGAAGATCTTTTTTCTTTTCTTCACTACCCATGGAAAGAATTTGATAAAAATACAGTAGTTCAGATCAATGTACAGTATATACCAGCAATTAACCAATGGTAGTGATCAATATTTTATTTTCAGTTTAGTATATGCATTTCAAAAAAAATCTTGTAAACCCAGCTAATGCATATGCAAAGGCATCGTCAGAATTTCAGTATGGATTTGATGGCTGAGGCAGCACAGTGAACAGACTTTCATTTACACTCTCTCAAATCTCAACACATGCCTTCTATTTCAAACCTAGTTTAAAGACAGGAAATATTTGAATTTTACTTTAACATCATTAAACTCTGTTTTTCTTATGTCTTCACATTGCCAGGACATTTAAAAGTCCTTTCCAGTCCTACCAAAAAAAAGACATCTTCTGTCTAGCTTGTAACCAACTGTTCTCAATATTGGAAAAGAGATAGACTGTGTACATTAGGAATTTCAGTCCCTCACTTTGCATTCAACTAACATATGACTTCATTAACTCTCATCCTGACTTTTCAGTTTGAGACATGTTACTCCAATTTCCATCCCTGAGACACAACATCTGACACCCACAACTTAAGGGAAGAGAGGTTTAATTAGGCTCACAGTTTCAGGGGATTCAGTCCATAGTTGGCTGGCTCCAAAGGAGAAACCTCATGGAAAAAGGGTGAAGCTAAGCTGCTTAAATTCATGGTGGCCAGGAAGCAAAGCATGGAAACCAGTGATGAAGGGGTAAGGAACCAGATATAGACCCCAAGGTCATACCTCTATGACCCACCTAGACACATTCCAAAGTGTGATTTACCAATCCCGTCAATGGTTCTGAAGCCAATCAAATTGAAAATTAAACTTAATGGTCATAAGGCACATTATTATTTTCCCTTCTGCAGTGTTAACAATGAACATTTTCACTCTGTCATTATTTAACGAAGAGATGATTAATAGTGAATACATGGTTCTGAAATTCCTTAGAACAGTTCATAGAAATATAATGTGAGGCTCATATATAATTTAAATTTTCTAGTAGTCAAATTAAAAAGAAACAGGTAAAATAAAAATTTAATTATTATTTTATTTAATCTAATATGTAAAACATAATTATCATTTTAACATGTAATTAATATAAATAATGAAATATTTCATATCTTTATTTTTTGTACTTAGTCTTTGGAATCTATGACCTGTTTCACAATTACTGTACATCTCTATTTGAGTAGTTGCATTTCAAATACTCAGTAACTAAATGTGGCTGGTGATTATCATATTCCCAGCCTTAGCAAATTTCTGAGTAAGAAGAGAATAAAACTATGAATTTGTACTTAGTTTTCAATTAGATTGTCTTCATGAAAAATGTTTAAGTCTAAGCTAATAATTTTCTTCCCCAAATACACTTTTCTGCTATCATTCTCTAATTCAGTAATTGTCCCTCACAGGCCTGCCATACAAAGGCTGATCAAAATATATAATGTGTGTTTAAATTTTTAAAAATCATTACAATAAAAGACACCTTGCCTCTAATACCCCTCAAAATACTCCCCCTCGCTTCAAATACACTTATTGCATCATTCTTGCCCCTCTTCCGGAAGCAGTTCTGGAAGTCCTTTTTTGTGAGTGTCTTTATGAGTTGTGATAAAAAATGCAGTGAACGCTGATGCCACGTGCCATCCAGAAGAAAGATAGGCTCATGAAAACATTATGATGTGTCCTCATCCACCTGGCACTGTGACATTTCTGGCCCTTCTTCAAAGTTAAAATGAACATGAAAGATAAACATTGTAGATCACTTTGGGACATTGAGGCAATCATGACAGTACAACTAAAGAGATGAAAGAAGACTTCCAGATCTGCTTCAGAAAGTGGCAAGAACTGTGGAGTAAGTGTGTTTGAAGTAAGGGGATAATTTGAGGGGATTAATGGCAAAATATTTTTTACTGCAAAAAACATTTTAAATGTAATTATTCACTGTATTGTCCTTGTGTGTGGTCTTACAGGTAGGACACTGTTCATTTATAAGAGGCACTATTTACAGTGCACCCAGCTGTATACCACACTGTTGTTTCAGTAACACTACCTAGTTGTCCATGCCAGATAGGGACTGACTCCAGTGCTTCCTCTCCCTCACTTCTACGCCCATCCTCCAAATGTCTAAATTCTGTTTAGTTTTATTTCCAAAGTGCATCTAGAAGCACTCATCTGTCAATCTCCCCTATCATTCCTTTGAATGGGATGCTACCATGGCCTCTAACTGGCTTCCCACACCCACTTTGGATGTTTCCCAGTCTATCCTCCATTCTGTACGGCCTGTGTTATCAAAGGCCAAACCAAGCATGCTATTCTCCCATTTAAGTTAAGTTCTCTCTCTGACAACTTCCCAGGCTTTTAGGTGAGATTCCAAAATCTTATGGCCTCTACAAGGCTTTTTTAATCTGATTTCCATCCCTCTTCTAGTCCTTCCTTCTTTATTTTACTATCTCTTCTCCCTGGGAGGATGTTCACACATTCTCTTACTTTGACCTCACATGTTTGGTGCCCTCTCTCTTTCTTTTCTGTTTCTCCCATTCCTTTTAAAGATCACTTTCTGAGGAGCACTATCTTTAACTTCTTGAGTCCCATTCTTTATATTCTTACAGCCTCTACTATGTTTTCTTCCTACCACTTACCACAATTTAAACTTCATGATTATTTATATAATTTTAATATACTACTTGTATATACCAATTTAACTTTCATGAGAAAAGAGAACCACACCTCCCTTGTTAGTCCCCTTTATATCTGTGGCACTAGTCTGGGGCCTGGCATATAGTAAGTATTTAGTATTTTCCAGCTGAATCTGCAGCTGCATGTGCCCCACCTGTTCTTTGGTAGCTTGAAGAGGCTTCTCAAGATTGTTGAAACTCTTATTTGCATGACTAAGTGTGTCAGCTTCTTTTTCATTGTGAAGGTTTTAGGATGCATCCCCTAAGTCATTCCATTACACTGACAAAACCAAAAAGTCTGATAATGACTACGGAAGAGGGCATGGAACAAAATAATTTTTACACCAATGCCAAAAGTGTATACTGATATAACCACTTTGGAAAACAGTTTGGAATGGTAAATTTGAAGATGCACATACATTGGACCTAGTAATTCAACAAACATAAACCAGAATAAGGGGCACGAGTTGCTTGTTTCACAGAGCTAACTGGTAATATTATGATAATCATCTGAAGGCCTTGCAGAAGTTTCCTGGGTTGACTGTTGACATCTCCTGCTGGGAAGGCTGGCCACTGAGCAGTAATAATACCTAGGAGGGTGGAAGCTCCTGTCTTTGGTTCCATCCATGGCCTCCACTCCTACCACCATAGTTACTCCATTCAAATGCCTGTTGTGTTGGCACTGTTGTGCCTTGTGGTGGTTAAGCTTAATTGTGTCAACTTGATTGACTTGAGAACCACCCAAGAGATTAAAGCAACATCTGGGTGTGTCTGCGTGGATCATGGAGGGATAACCATGGGGTATATATCTAGACCCTCACTTGTGTCTCTCTAGTATTGTTCCTGTTCTTTGCCTCCCTACTGGTTGCTATGAACTAGGCATTTTTGCTCTGCAGTACCTTTCTGTTGTGATGTTTTTGCCTTGGAGCCTTGACTATGGATTGAACTTGTGGAAACCATGAGCCAATTTAAACCTCTCGTCCTTTAAATTGTGAATGTCATTGTGTATTTTGTTCCAGCAACAAGATACATGTGCTAAAACAGAAGCCAGTGTATTCTGTCTCTTTGGTGAGTGCTCTCTGTGAGGTATTCATTCTCTCTGCTGAGTCCTAATGTGTTATAAACATCTCCATGGATAGTGATGGGCTTCCGTGGGTCCACTGCAGGCAAGCATCTACTCTAGACCTTCTTGGCCCTGATTATTCTTTCTTCTTCCAGGTCCCTGCTCACTCAGCCAGTCAACTCTAAATGATTTTTAATCCTTAGATCTATTAATAGTTGTGCCACTTCCTTTCCATATGAAGAGGATGACTGGCTAGAATGCCTGGATGTAGTTGGTTCTTTGGGAAGATTTCCTCCTCTTTTGATTTTGATTTGGGCCCATCTCTGAGTGCAGGTGGTCATTTTTGAGTCACTCTGATGTACTGAGCTGACTCACTTATGAGCTATTTTTCCCTTCTCTCACCTGGTCAGTAGGGCCTCTCTGTGTGGCCACAGGTATAATTTGATGAGAGGTAGATGAAATAGCTTCAGGATCATGCAGTTTGCTTGTACCCCTTGGCCTTATTTGGATCTTATAGAATATTTATTGCCAGACCTGCCTGACTTTATGACTTGGTGTGTTGGGTAAAACTCAGCTCATGCGGGCCAACTCTTCATTTTTTTTTTTTTTTGTACCAAGGATTGAATTTGGGACTTGGGCTTTTCAGGCAGTCAGTGGCACCACTGAGCTAAATCTCTGGCCCTGGGCATCTGTCGTTGTAGGGTAATTGGTGTCCTGTGGTAGTCACCTGATCTCTTCCAGGGCTCAGTCGTATCCCAGGAAATAGTTTTTGAGGAGCATATAGTTCCTTACTGAAGATAGCATGGCCATTTCAGGACCCTATGGAACTGATTAGGTTGTATTCTCCTATTGTTTATTTTTGTATATTTTTGTTATAGTGTCTTTTCATACCATGGAAACTTCGAAAACCAAAGAGTGTACCAGATCAGGCTTGTGCTTTCACAGCCTGGACTTGCTGCGGTGCTTTCTGCTCCACTCAAGGGTGGCAAACATGTACTGTGCCTAATCCATGTAAGTGAACGTTGCTTCTGTTCATCTTTATTGATAGGGATGTGGATGAATCTGTTTTAGCAAGGGTATGGTATCTGGCCCAGCAACCACAATTGTGGCCACTTGGCTATAAAATGTTATAGATTTAGTTTCTTTAATAATTAATCGACTTTCAAGATTTTCTAAATCTCTTTGAGTCTGTTTTGGTGGTTTATTCTTTTCTAGAACAAGATCCTTTTCACCTAAAGGAGTTCATAAATTTTTTATTAGTTTCATATTACCTACTACATCTGTAGTTGTGTCCTTCTTTTTATTTGTGCTCTCTTTCTATTTTTCTCACTCACTTTTGCCAGAGGTCTGCCAATTTTATTAGCTTTTTATGAAGAGCCAATATTTGGATTTGTTTTACCCTTCTGTTTTATTTTTGCTTTGTGTTTTATTAATTTTTTTCATCTACATTTATTTTTCTTTTCAATGTTTATGTTTCTCTTGCTTGTCTTTTTTTCCTAGTTTCTTATATTGTATACTTGGCTCATTAATTTTTCATACTTTCCTTTTTTGTTATAAGTATTTAACTATATATATTTTTGGATTTTTAATCATATATATTTAAGTTATAAAAAGCTACAAATCTGTGTCTCATGCTTTTGATCAGTATATTTTTATCTTTCATTTCCTTATTTTGTTCTTCCAAAAGCCATGTGTAATTTAGAAGTGTTTTTTAAAGTTTAAGTACATAAGTTTCTTTGATAATTCTATTTGCTGTCTATTAATTTAACTAACTTTTTGTCATATAATGCAATTCATGAGATACTCTCTGAAACTTGCTAGGATCTATTTTATGGTCCAAATATAGTTAATTTTTAAATGTTCTTTCTCAAATTGTTAAGTTCACTGCCTCATAGGTTCACATTAGATCATGTTTGTTGTTCAAATTTTTATCATTATTGATTTATTGTTGTTTGGGATATTAATTACCGAAGAATTGTGTTAAAATCTTCCATTATCATGTAGATTTGTCCCATTTCTATATTTCCAGTATTTTTAAAAATATACTTTTCATAAATTAGGTACATATGTATGTAAAATTATTATACCTTGGCAAAGTGAGTCCTTTATGTAGTGATCTTTTATACATCTATAATCTCTGCCTTTAAGTTTATTTTTTGTCTTGTACTGTTAACACTTTACCAATTTTTAAATTAATGTTTTATTGATATAGCTTTTCCTAATTTTATATTAAAAATTTTTTTGTGTTAAGACCTAGATGTATTCTTTGCAAATGAACTGAAGTTGTATTTTATTTTTAATCCAGTCTGGAGATATTTGTTTTTTAATCAATGGAATGCAATTTAATCAAGTCTGTTTATGTTGATTGAGGTTAATGTTATGTTTGGATTCACTTCTATAGCCTTGTAATGGTTTGGACTGAAGAGTTAACCTGGATTTTTCCACATTTCTTTGTTGAAAGGTATTCCTTTTTACATACAGCCTAACTCATGCAACAAACCACAGAGGTAAGGGTTTATTATCCCTCTTTTGTAGGTAAGGAAACTGAAGGTCAGAGAGATTAATGAAGACACTTAAGGTCCAATATCTAGCAAGTGACAGAAATGGGAATCATAGTCAGTTCTCTATGGCTCTAATATCCTTGCTCAGTTCACAAGGAGGTGAACTAATGCCCAGTAATGGGGGAACTCTCTTAAAATTGACCCAAAATGTAATGAATTATCAGTTGAGGTCATGGATATCCCACTGGACTTTTCTAAGCAGAGATGGTGTGGTCATATGTCATGGCTGTTAACGTGGGAACATCCTTGGAGCAGAAAGCCGTACTTCAGGACAAAGGCTTGGATTACATGATCATTCAGGTCTATTTCAGTTTCCATCAGCCTATTGAAACTGCAAGGGCTTAGCAAATATATGCTTTTCAAAACTCTCCCTGCTTTCTGAAAGGAGCCGCGATGTGAACTTGTCATTTCTTCACTCAGCCTTCTTAATCTGCTGCAGTGTTGGGTGATATGTCCAGGTGGGGACTTAATACAGTGCTGTTTGATTATTTCTTGTTGAAAGTATGTTTGGCTCATTTAGAGAGGAGAAAAACAAATCATGTGTGTTTTGTAGAGTGAAAATATGAGTACAGCATAAGGCTTGTTTATCTGATATGCTAGAGCCAAGAAATGCAAAAGCCAACAGACACTGAATTGCATATTCATATCACATTAACAACTTTAATAAGTTCATAACTCATTTTAAATACAAATCATATTTTTAAAATATAATAATATTTTATATTCAGCTTTTAGTAAATAGCCAGAATTCATAGGGAAGTAAAACATTTGTCCTTTGTGCCTTGCTTTGTTGACATATTCTACCTTGAAAAGGCCAAAAGCCCATGGGAATAAAAAAATTAATATCTGTCAGCAGCAGTCTTATCAAGCTGGCCCCTCTGTAGACTCTGCTTCTGTCCACTTACTTTTACATCCTCACTACTACTCCTTCAGTAACCATCCTCTTTCTTGTAAAGCCCAGCCAAAAGAACAGTACTTTCAGAAGGTTCCATTCACCCACACATATCTCCCTGTACTGTATCTCTCCAGGTACCCGGAAGTGGCAGCTGAAGTATCCGAAAAAAGGTTTTGGAATTCTTTCCTTCCAGGTTGAATACTCCTTTTAAATTTTTTAAAAACAATTTTTCAGGTGATTCCTTTAATGTCTCTCTATGGCGTGTAAGAAAGAGGTCACCACAGTAATCCCGCCGTATCTGTGGGGGACATGTTCCAATATTATATACAGTGAAGACACATGCTAGAGAAATACTTGTATATGAAGAACTTAAAATTAAGAAAATTCAGAAGATTACATTAAAAATCCCAGATTGTCGCCACTAGCCATTATATGATTTCAACCGTAGAATACCTCGGTTCTCGTGGTGGAGGACCAGTGATTTCTGTGCCCGGCCTGGGCTAGTGGAGCCTCTGCCCTTGTGGTCCCTGTCTGCCCGGCCTTCTTTAAGCCTTTCCTATTGAGAAAGCAGCTCCTCAATTCAAAAGCCAGCATATTTGTCACCTTTATTGAGGAGCCCTCCGTGGCCCCTCACAAAAACAACCACTATCCCTCCTCTATGGTTTCCATGGTACTTGGAATATTTGCCTATAACTTATTTTATAATTCACATGAAACATAATAGTAACAGTGATTTCTTCTATTTCTACTCCTTTTGCTAGGTTATGTCTCATTCAGTTTTATATGTAGATGTCTTTATGGGGCCCCGCACAAAGTGTTCAATAATTGACATTTCTTGGAAGTTCTTTTTTTTTTTTTACTAATATATTTATTCTTCAAGAAATTGTCCCTTTACTTTCTTCTGCAGTACCTAGAACATGGGATCTTGTATGCAGCCATTTAGCTATGACAGCCTGGCTGTGTGATCTGGGTTTTCTCCTTGTTTTCTGGGAAATAGTTCAGCTCTGTCAAAGAACTGTCAAGAGTAATTCTAATATTGAGGGTGAAGAGGTGGCTACTTGAAAAGCTTGGAGATCCCTTTGTAGATGAATAGACTTGTGTCTGTCTCAAATCTGGGTTAGGGCTATTGCTTTGATAGTGCAGTCAGCAAGGATCAGAAGTCAGGAATTCACGATCTTTCATTCTGTTCTGAGGATTGCTGAAATGCTTTGTCTGAAAACAACAACCTTCCTGGGCTGGAGGTGAGAGAGGGAAGAAGTTAAGAGTTGAAAGGCATGCTCTTCTATTAGCTACTGTGACAAAGTGGATCATGCAGGCTTCAGGTCTGCTAAAAAACTTAAGAATGAAAGCAATGTGAGGCACAACATTCAAGAGAAGATTACAGTACAGTTTTGGGTGTTGGCTCAGGTGTGAGTTGACAGGTACTTCACACTGTTGGTGAGGAGGACAGAAGTATACATTGGTACACTCTTTCTGAGTGCAGTTTTGTAATACATATTAAGAATCTTAAAGGTATTTGTACTTTCTTTTCTCAGCAATGCTACTTGAATGGATTTTTCTTAATGAAGTCATCTGACAAATGTATCAAGATATTTATTTGTATAAGGATGTTTAGTTAGAAATAACATAAAGAACATAACAAAAATAGGCAACCATTCAGATCTGTTCTTCTATCACAAAGGAGTATTACAAAGGAATTCAAATAATATTGCAGAGATACAGTCACAGAGAGGGAAAGAGGTATATGATATATTGTTGTTTTATAAGGTTACCTATGAGATCATAGGTAGATTATGGTCAAGTTTTGTAAAGCACACATTTATGTACTGCTGAGAGATATTTTTCTTTTATTTTGATGATACAAATTTTCTACACAGAGACAGTAGTATATATTTGATTTATAAAGAGCTAATATTTTTTTTCAAAATTATTGGCTATGGAAAGGATAATTCCTAAGCTGGGAAGGGGGATTTCATAGTCATAATTTCAGCACTATGGTGGGCTGAGGCAGGAGGATCACAAATTTAAGTTTTGCCTGGACAACTTAGTGAGACTCTGTCTCAAACATGGGGGTGGAGTAGTGGGGGCACTGGGGATGTAGCTGAGTGGTGGAACACCTGTGCGTTCAATTTCTTGTATGAAAGACAGAAAGGAAGAGAGAGAGAGAGAGAGAGAGAGAGAGAAATTCCTTTAGGTCAATGTTGTCCAAGTTGAATGTGTAGTTTTTGGAATAGGTTACAAGTATCACATATTAGCAAAGTACAATGACTGAGCTAATAGGCAAACAAACTTGGTGGTATTTGGTAATATTTGTGAATGTTATGAATGTTATTATCTTTCATATCCTTCCAGTGGAACTACTTCTGTGGGATAGCTGCTTTTTGATTCCTGAGATCTTTTCTCTTTCTTTGGCTTTCACTTTTCAAATACTATGGTACCTGAGGTTACAGCCCTTCCTTAGTATGAGGTTGTGCCCCTTTCTTTGTCACAATGCTGGTGGTCTCTTTCTGGCTCCTCATTAATTATTTTTGTTCATTTCATCAAGTGTTTTGAGA